TAGATTGTTTTGAATTCTAGAATGTTTATTCTAATTATTAAAGGATATTGTAAAACCTTGTTTTTTATTCTAATTAAATATATAGATAGTATTAATTATATCTTGAGTAATAAAAAGATTATTAAATAAATTAGACTCTTCAAATCTTTTTCCAGAATTAACTAGCTGATTAATTAATAGAATAGAGCTAGAGATTTCGAATTGAGGGTTTTCAAAAAACAAAAAAAAACTTAAAAATATTAGAATACCTAAAACAATAATAGAATAAGTATTTGGTATAATAGAGGCTTCAAAAGAAACCTTTATTATAGCTATATCCCTAAATGTTAATAGATTGTTAAAAAAACTCATATTAAGAATCTTATTCTTATTCTAATAATTCAGAATAAGAAAATTTTACACGAATTTTCGTATATATTTCATGTTCAAAACGCTAACAACAATAATATAATAACTATTAATCAGAATTATTAAGGGATAATTATAATCAATTTGATTTAATAACTATGATCTAAATCGATTGCGAACGGATTGTATTTCGAAGAAAAAGTTTCCTTCGAAATTTGTTGTGTGTTACAATAATGTTATTAGTTCGATTTCAATGCAAGTCAAAATAATATTATATAATAAAGAACATTTGATACTATTGTTTACTAAACTAAATTCAAGAGTTATATCCCTGACCGTCAATTAAGAATCAGGAGACGGAAACAGAGGTCCGATGAATTGGCCAATAGCAGCAAACTGACTGCATATCCGACACAGTTCCTCGGAAAGCAGGACGAGACCCAAAGGAATTTTCAAGCTGGATCTATCAGTCACCACCATAAAACACGAAAGGTAAAGATACTACCTCTAGCCATTGCTGATCATAGTCGGAGGTGGCCATATTTTTGTTTGGTGAAATCGTACGCGTACAGTAGTGAAAAAGTGAAAAGCTGAAGAAGTTCTACCAAGGTGTCAGTGGGCTATTTATATCTGCATGTTAAGTTATTAACCGAACAAGCTCTTCTAGACGGGGTAATAACTACCCCGCTTCCGGTGATAGCGATCACTCGAAGGAAATCGGATCGTGGAGTATATGTCGGAGCTTGACCTCATGGACATCGAGGAACTCGTTTATGTCACTAGATCTTACGATGAGCTTCTGGATATATCTTTCCAAGTTCTATTTCCATAAATCTACACAAATTTAACATAAAACTAGTAAGAAAACGGCCTCATCTTGAATATGCTGGTTTCCTCGGGAAATGGCTCGGCAGGTATGTCAACCATGCCTGGTTGCAAGAAGTGAGCCAGATCGCCTTTTTGTGAATCAGTCTGCACGATAGACCAGCCATCTCCAATCCAAGCTAACCTATTGCACTCTTCTCCGTCATTCTCTCCTTCATATACATAGTCGAAATCTTCCCATCTTGGCGATCGTAGACATTCCATTGCGTGCAACGTACTTCCCGGCCAGAGACCAGTAACCCGATCCCCCTTCTCTCCATTACTTCGATACCAACTACTACAATCATCGACATAGACAGTCTTTTGGAAATAGTGATCAATGATCCTCGAGAAATCCTGAACTCTTCGCTTTTGTACTTCCATTCTAGCGATATTTTCTTTCTGAATCTTGCGAATACATTTGATGATGTAGTCGCCAGTCATCTCCATCATTACCGTCAATGAGCCAGTCCCAATCGCAGCATTGGGTCCTAGCATCATAAAATAGTTTGGAAATCCATCAGTAGCCAGAGATAGATAAGTCTCAGGCCATGGCTCAAACTTCTCCTTCATGGACTGGCCGTTCCTTCCAATGACCGGAAAAACAGGGGGTGCGGATGCTTGAAAACCCGTTGCACAGACAAGGACGTCCAGTTCCCTTTCTTCACCACTCTTGAGTATCAGACCATTCGCGCTTGCTTTCAGAATAGGCGTGTCAATGAAATCGACGTTATCTTCTACAAGTGCTTCGAGATATCCAGGTCCCGGCGTTAGTCTTCGGCAGCCTACACTGAATGTGGGTAAGAGAGCCTTAAAAATCTCTGGCTTTTTTGCAAGTCTTTCTTTCATGAGTTCTGTGAAATTATCTCTAGCTGTTTCTGAATATTTACTGCCTTTCAATGTCAAAGCGTGTGCCGAATTTGCGTCACGTGCTATTATTGTCCGGAACTCCAAATAGTGTTCTGGGTCGTTTGCAAACCGAGCTTTCTGCTCTGCGGAGACTAGAATGCCTTAGTATGTGGATTAGTCATGTTTTGAAGTCACTTTACAGTATGTTTCTTTGATTCCAAGTTTCTCCATTGCAACGTCACCAAAAGGCCTAGAGATCCAAGTCTTGCCCCTGATAAAGCAACTCAGCTGTGTTCCAGGCACTTTCTGCAGCGAAGGAATGATCTGTATCGCGCTACTGCCACCTCCGATGACGCCAATTCGTTTGTTTTTGAAGTCATAGCTGAATCACACGTCAGTGGAGTTTAGATTAAAATATTATTTGCACATACTTCATGTCCCAGGCTGCAGAATGCATTACAGGAATCTTGATGTCAGACAGTCCTTCGATTTTTGGCCAGGATATGTTGTTCAAGGTACCCCGGGCACTGATTACAACGTCGGCCTCATCAGTAACAGTCTCCCCTGTCTCGAGATTCTTAACTTGGACCTTCCTGGACATAGATTAGCATTATGAGAATAACCACTGCTTTGCATGTGCGTACCATTTTGCCTTTTTGTCGTCCCATTGAGCACCAATAACTTCGTGCGAACATTTGATGAACCTGTCTACCGAGAACCTCTTGACAACATCTTCCAAATATTGTCGAATTTCTGGTGCAGGAGCATAAAAGCTGCTCCAATTTGGATTTGGAGCAAAAGTATACTGATAAGAGTGTGCTTTTGAAATTGTTAGTTTTGAGGAAAGATTGCCGTACTTATGCTTTACTGACATGGAATATCACAGGCACAGCCTGGATATCTGTTCTCGTACCATGTTCCTCCCACTCCAGCATTCTTCTCATAGATCTTTAGGTTGACATTGCGAAGTCGCTCGGGTATTCGAACACCGCAATAAATTCCAGAAAAGCCAGCTCCAATGACGATTACGCTGACTGGACGAAGATTCTCAATGGCCGCATCTTTGATACTCTGAAGATTTCCATTGGTGACCACATCTGAAGGATCGATCATCTTGAATAAGGTTAAGTTGGTTTGGGGACATTTTCGGTGTCTTGACAATCCGTTTTAATATGAACATTGCATTGCCACGTGAATATCAACCAGGAAGCTCCAGTCGAAGGTGCAAGCTCAATTCCGTTCGCGCCATTAACGGAAAGCGTCCACTATTTCCAATACTCTGTCCCTGATCCGATAGAATTCACCTATGCGTACAGCCGGCATTCGGCATTTTTTAACTGCCAATGGCGTCTTTCCAAAACCGGGGCAAACAATACATCCTCGACATCTTTCACATCTGCAGGGAAGTTTCCAGGGCACATGGGGTAAGGGTAAGGTATTTATTTCGGAAAGGGAACGTTGAAATACGCTAAAGCCGGAAAGTGTACTCTACTGCCGGTACTGCATCCGCCTCATTGTGGATCTGTTCTCCGCAATTTGCCGAAAACTAGTCACGTGCTGGTGGCATGCAGGACAGGACAGGTGATCAGGTTTCATAAGTTGGCGTCAGTTGTATATTATACTTTTTATACACTCCTGTACTGTCAATCATTTACCCTCACTACTACGCGTAATGCAAATCTTTTCATGATTTCTGGTATTTGAAGAGATAACGTGATTCAACTCTTAAGCTTACCTTGTAGACACTTCAATACGAGTAATGTCTGACAACAGATGCCGGGCAATTACCTGATGTGGAGTCAACACACACCATTGAAGTTGATATCGAAGCTTGGGAAGAAAAGAGGAGTCAAAGCAAGTTGAAAGTGCACACTCCGGTGCATTATCCGTGACCCAGGGATGCTGCTACGTCACTAGGATAGCACAATAGCCCCCTAGCGAATTTACACGTTACACGGAAGCAAGCTCAGGGCGGAAAGTCTTTCCCGAAAACTTGGAGCATCTTGCTCGGCTTCAAATATTCTCTTCAATATCGGTAATTTGTAAACTTAAAGCCCGCAAATCTCATAAGCAATTTAGCTTGCGCTGCTTCAATCTCCTTTCGTAAAAGCCCATCTTGACTGTACTTTGACTCGTTATTGACATTCAAATCTCAGATACCGCTCACCAGACTGCTTTCATCCTACGATTCGGGCCACACGTCGATAAGATGCCAGTTTCTCAATAGAAATCAGATGAATCTCGGGACTTCCGAATCTTGCCTTCCCTTGAGCTGCCTTTGTCTAGACTCAGCACTCGACCTATTCAGTCGAGCGGTGGCCATGAAATATACGAAGTTGTTATTATTTGAGTAAGCACCATGTTCATAGTTAATAGCCAGATTAACTAAATATATTCCCGCAGGCTGGGCCAGCTGGAATGATGCTCACATTGTTACTCGCAAGATACAGTCTGGGAGACACTTTAATATGCTAAGACTCAAAACCGGGGACTTTGAAAGCTGGAAAAGTTGACGGGCTCCAGCCGCGGACCTTGGGAGTTCTCAAGAGCTTGGATGTCGCGGACGGAATACTTAACCATGGATGCCATATGTCAGAGGTGGCTTTCTGGAGCCCAAAGAGCAATACTTCAACAGGAAAACCGGCTGCTATTGAGCGTACCTCCTTTGCGCCAGATTTTGTGGTTGCTGCGCGATACAAACACGAAGTCACAATTCACCAAGTTCGTATTGAGCGAATTTCAGAAGAGAACCTAAATTAGTACTCAACGGAATGTATCCAGCGATCGAAAAGGCTTGTAGACTTCGTTCTGGATGCAGCTAGTGATGTTGAATACCCTTTGAAGATTGACCTCGAATAGGAAACTGCCGGAGGGAAGAAAATACAAAAACGGTTCGGAGTAAATGCCTGGTTGGTGCTCATTCGCAAGTTCGGAAGTCAATGAGACTCGATCTTACAGTCGAAATAACAGGCCATACTGGGGACGTCGTCGATTTTGTTGCAGACATAACGTTTCCTGATGTACGAAAGCGCTGTGCTGTAAATTCTGATGCGGGATCCGTCATGATCATTCCTCGTGAGCGCGTCAGTACTGGCCAGTGCTTGGCTCGACTTTATGTGCAGATCAAAGACGAAATTCTTGTGGAAAGCTCCGATCCCGGTAATTCAGTAGTACGGGAAAAGAATCGCAACAGGCGAGCCGCGATCACTCTCGATTTTATTCTAGCATAAATACAACGTATATTTTTGCCTTGCACGATTTCTATCAGAAAGAACACATAGATCGATTGGTAGGCAGCGTATCAGATTGGGCAGCGTATGACTCCTCCTTTTTCAATAAATGACGATGCTGAGCGAAGTCGAGCTTTAATCGTTGGAGACGGTGAGTCCTGTATCTTCCAATAAATCAACCTTTGCTAACGTGCGAAAGCCTGTAATACCCATAGTCAAAAAAAACTGGGCAGGGGATGAACGTTTCCATGATGGATTCTTACAACCTCGCCTGGAAACTAGTTCACGAGGTCCACGCCCTGTCTCCTGGGCTGCCAGAAGCTAGCGTTCTAAAAATATATAAATTCGAATTCATGACAGTTGCACGTATGCTTATCGAGTTTGACACCAAGTTTTCTTCGATATTTTCTGGACAGATAGGCTCTGATAGCTCTGTTGAGGGTCTGGCACACGAGTAATTCCTCAAAGTCTTCAGCGATGGGAGTGTTTTCACAAGTGTTTGTGGAATCGAGTATCCGCAGTGTATCATAGCCAAGGCAACCAGCGCAGAAAACTTACATCTAATTTCCAGCGATATTTATCTTCATGGAACTCCAAAGCCTGGAAGCAGACTACTTGCTTCCATGATAAGACGATACGCGAACTCATATCTGAGGCACTTACAAGATGGCATGCTTCTCTTCCTGTTCATTTCTTCTAAACTATGCTAATCCTGACTTCATATTTCCTTTCCACTGGACGTTTTCGCATTCTCGTATTGACAACGTGACACCTGCTAGAGCCGCATGGCAACTCGTCACGGGCATTGGTAGGAATTTGCAACAAAATCATTCCAACATTCCCAAAGGGTACAGTGGAATTTGTTGCGATACATCTCTTTGTAGAGCGGGCATTTGAATGGACAGATATTCAAACCTGTGTGAAGGAGTCTGCGGAAATGAAATTTCATGGCCCAGTTGGTCAGAAGCTATACAATACATATGGTGTGACTCTGGATGCAGGTCTCGTTGCTGTACGACCTAATGGTTATATTAGGCTACTTATCTCTTTAGCGAATTTCTCACAGGCAGACAATTATTCGAGCGCATGTTTAGTGAGGGCTATGGATTGTCCGATTGTGTTGAGGAAGGAGGGGAGAACGCAAACTTTATACAAGAGCGTGCCACAAATGCCTTACACATATCACACTTCCAAAGTCGTTTTTGGTGTATGTGAGAGAGTTTTCGGAAGGCAGATCCGGGGAAGAAGGTGATTTTCCCAGTACAAATACCACGTATTAGAGTCTACGTTTCTATGAAAACAGAGTTGAACTGTGCCTTCTTTGATCACCAGATAAAATATTGGTTCTTCTGGACCCAAATATCGACAACGCGTGATGGAAATGTAGAACTTCAAGTTTCGATTCTATGCTCATAGGAAGACGAAGAAATTGAGACGTCGTGTTGGAGTTTGAATTATAGATCGCCAATTAATGTAGGCGAGTCTCGGTCTCTGGGATGTTGGGAACCGTTGAAGTACTTTCACTCGTGTCATATTGTCTGGCAGTAATGATCTGGTCCATTTCCATCATTGATGAACGGTTCTCGTCACTGGTGAACGTGTGTAGAGGAAGGAGCCATGGCCAACCTCTGAATAATTTGTTATTCAAGGCGTCGAGCCTGTCGAGGCCTAGCCATGTAACGATCGTTACTTCATAGTATAAGCAATAGTATACTAAAACTTTAGAATATATTAAGATATTAATATAATAACTAATATGTATAGAAAGCTAAATACATTACTCTCATACTTATCCTTACATTTTACAATATTATTAATATATTTAAATATTAGAACCTATTCTAAAAATCTAGTTTTATATAATTCTATCTATATCAAATAATACAATAAGTAATTTATTCTTATTTGGACTTAGAAATACATAAAATTAAATAAAAGAAACATATAAATCGATTTCTTAAATTCTAATTAATAATTATATTTTATTTCTTTTTATTTTATTTATTCCTGAAAGATTATAATTAGATCGAAAAATCATTAAGTATAATAAAGTATTGATTGAGATTGCTTTAATTATAAAACTAATATTTAAACTGTTAATATATAGAATAATAATATTCGGAGTTATTGTTATGTAATATATATATATATATAAATTTCATTCTAAACCCAAGCCCAAAATGATACTCATGAATACTTACTTACTCACTGGTATTTATATTCGAATTGACTCCAAATTGAATTGAATTAAAAACACGAGTCAGTAACCCCCATTACAATCCCCAATCCCCAAGCTCCAAAACTCAAAACCAAACAGGCAACAAGTTCTCTCTAAGCCCCGCCTCCTCTCACATGTAATATATCCCCATCACGCCTGTATCTAAATAAATAATCCTCAGGACTTAGTTTCTTGGCAATGTATCCTGTGTGTCTAAGCTAGGTATTACTGTGTGATATGTTGTGGTTATTGGATGGGGAGAAATAGAGTTTGGAGCAAAAAGCATGGGGGCTTGGAAGTGACTGTGCGGAGTTTGGGTTTGGGTTGGTTTGGCTTGGGGGTTTACTTTACGTAAGGGAGAGGGGGGTGTGTGTTTGTGTTTGTGTTTGTGTTTATAGGTTGATATTATGGTATGGGGCGAGGAATGATGGGGAATGGGGTGGGATGGGATAGGTAGGTTAGTAGGCGGGTGAAATTGGGGTTGTGGATGGAAACTTGGAAGGAAATGGAGGGAAGTGGAAAAGTGGAAATCTGGAAGGAAAGGCAGAGGGACTAGATATATTAAGAGTGTAATGAAAAGAAAAAAAAGGATAGGAGGAAAGAAAAGAGAGTAAGGGAAGGGAATCTGGGGTGCGCGTGTGTGCGTGTGTAATTGTAGGTAGGTATGAGTGAGACAAAAACTGAGGAAAAGGGGTGTGCGGAGCCCCAGATTCGTGGACTGTTTTTGATGGTTGAGAGGATTTGAATACTAGATAAGTACTAGATATATGTGCTGTAATATAATATCAGACCTCTTTATATACTGGGTATACTGTCTGAAATGTTGATAAAATAGCAACTTGGATATATGTACCTAGGTATTCAGTATCAGTACATATCCTCCTATTTTAATTAAACCCCTCGACCTTTACTTATCTAGGTAGGTGATTAACTCACTTACTCATGATTCATGACTCGAACGAACAAGTTTCATTTCCTTACATGTCTTCATACTAGGTATCAATAAACCTACATACTCTGCAGCCATGATCCATCAAATCACGTTACAGATATCCCCGTATATGTAATTCTTCCTATTGCGATGATATTGATGAGCGATCATTTCGCTAATGAATGGAGGGCTTATCATTACCTTGGTGATGGTTGAACAGGCGGTATGTTTCAGTACCTAGGTACTTTGGTAGGTGGTATTGAATATATCCCTAGTAAATAAACGAGAAAATGAATAATACAACTCAGGTCCTTATTATTTATTTCCTCACTTGCTTTACCAAATACCTACTAAGTAATCAGCACTTCACAAACTCTCCTTCTCTCCTTCTCAATCCTACATAAAAATTCCCTCATCCATTTCCTCCCCATCCAAACCCAAATTACCAATCCAACCACATCCAAAATCCCCCCAAAAACAAACATCTCACACCACATCATCTCACACCACATCTCAGCCAATCCCCATAATTACCCCAGATCCTTCCCTCAACACCCGAAGCTAAGTGGATATCCCTTTGTAAATAAGTGGGGCCTCTCACTCCATTCTGCATAAATCCCCAGATTACGCATTTCCGGCGTCATTAGCGAAGGTCAAAGAGGATTAGTGGCTTGGTGTTACCCCGCACGATGGACCAGTTAGATGCGCAGGCTTGAAAACAGGAGGTTTGGGTGGTATGATATGATATGGTGTGGGCTGAGCAGGGAGGAGGTACTTATGAGGAGGTATCTTCCTTTCCTTTGGATGTTTGCTTTCTTCTTTTTATTACATCAAGAACAATACATTGCGATATATTACAAGAAAATCAAATCAATACACAGTTTATCAAATTCAATACGATAAATACCTACTTCATTGTACTTTACTACACAATCGATTTGATATCATTCATCAAGAACAGTATCATCAACATCGACTTCAAATTCATCACTTGAAGCCTCCAATACATCACAACACAATCAATCACAGAATCTACAAAACAACACATATAACAAATCATTCATCATGGTTGCTGTTACTGGAGTTGTTACTGCTGGTGGTAAGTTTCCATTTTATTCTTCGAAGAGTTGATTGTTTTGATGTGATGGGTTGATGTGATGGGTTGATGTGATGGGTTGGAATGTGTTATTGTGTCGCTTTGTCGTTAATGTTCATGAGTTTCATCTCATATCATATAAACATATCATCACGATCATAACGACACATGTCCTCTTCATCCTCATCTCTATCTTTCTCTTTCTTTCCCCCATCATTCCCCCTTCCATCCATACCCCTCACCCTCAAACCCCAAAACTAACACTCCCCTCTAGCCTCAGCACTCGGTCTTGCAGCTGCTCTCGCATCCATGCATCTTCCTGCCAAAACCTACCGTGTAGAACGCACACGACGTCTCTCTCAACCCGCCGATCAAGATCAGGGTGAAATGGCACGCTTGGCTTTGCAAAAAACAAACTCTGCGGGTTCGATTACCGAGAAGACGAAGAGTGGCTTTCAACCGGGGAAGAAGGTTTTGGGTAGAGTTAAGGAGTAGATGTTTTAAAGATGATGATGGGTTATGATATGAATATGGGTTATGGATACGGTTATGGGATGGATGGACATGGATATTGGTATGAATGGATTGATGGATATGGATATGTTACTATGAAATCATGATACGAGCAGTTAGTTACCAGACTTACTGACTTGACTTGATTGGGATCTTCATGAGTCGTCATGGATTGACATGATATGACAAATGAATATGGATGGGATGGGATGGGATGGAGTTTACTTTGCTTGTTTTGCTTTGGGTTACATATTATCACATACATACACGCATTACACATGAGAAATCGACAAAGGTCTAGAAATAGATAGATTTCCTTTCGTTTCGTGGTTATATCGAGATGAGATGAGATGGAATGAATGAATGTATATTTGACTTTCGCTCGTTTGAGGATTAGGATTAAGAATTGGGAATGAATATCATATCAACTCATGAAATTTGAAGATCTTGGGATTCGATATTGTCCACGTGTGAATGTGGATGTGATATACATAGTTGGTCGATTTTTCCACATGGATTTGAAATCTGATTTAGATTTAGATTCTGACTCTGATTCTGATAAAGCACAGGAGAAAGAAAAGAAAGGAAATGTGATAACAAAACAGGTGATTGATACTATTAAAGATACCAAATGACCTGTTGAAACCGGACTGGGAATCTCGGGATGCGGAATTTAGTTTTGAGTTTGGGGATGAGGGGTCTGGAATGGAATAGAATGATGAAATGGGAAGTAAAGTGAGACTTTCTTTCTTGATTAGATAATTCTTCGATTCTTGATTGTTATATGTATACTTATGTTTATATTTATGTTTTATTAGTAGTTAGTAGTTGGTGATTAGTAGTTGACGATTTGAGATCTAGAATTTGGGATTTGAGATTTAATGATTTAGTAGTTTAGAGTTAGAGTTGGAGGTATAGGAATAAATTAATAGATTAATTTGATTATTGATTGTCGATTAGTTATTTGGGCTGGAGATGTTTGAGATAGGAGTTTGACTTTGAGTGAATGGGGAGGATATAGAGAGGAGAGGAGGGAAGAGGGATTGTTGGTGATGAGTTTGAGAGATTTTCTTGGAGGGGGGGAGGAAAGAAGGAGAAAGGAGGAATGATTTGAATTATGATATTTTGTTTTCGGGGATTTGAGTTTTAAGAATTGGGCTTAGAGGATTGGGTTTGAGGAGTAGTTTCTTGGGGGGTGGTTTGGAATGAATGAGGTTTTTGTGATTACATTTCGTGGGTTGGGATTTGAAGTGCGCAATTATTGAGTATCTGGTTATTTTGATGGGTTTCGAAGAGGAAGCGGAAGCTAAGAGAGTGGAAGAGTAAAAGAAAGAGGGGGGTAGATGTTTGTTTTGCTTTTGAGGGAGTTTTGAATCTGGAGGTGGAGGTGGAGGTGGAGGTGGAAAGATGGAGATTGAGTTGGGATTTTGACGTTGGGATTCTTTCGAGTAGGGTGAATGATTCAGTTATATGTTTTTTGATCGGATCCCTTCTTGATTTACATTTTGACTATCTTCGTCTCATGTCAACGTCGCGCAAGGAGTGCAGTGTTCAATACATCTTTTTAGCCCTAAGTTGGCAGTCTTGAGTTCATTGGGTAGCATATCACGACTTAAGGTGAAGGGAAACATAACTTTATATAGGTACAAGATATATGAAAATACAGGACCGAGAAGCGAGATCTGGGGATGTGGATACGGAGGGAATTGCAATGTGCAGTTATCTTTTATTCACATGAAGGCTCTTTAAGGTTTTCAAGGATGGTAGTCATAAAGATGAATTTCTTTCGAGGAAACTTTTCGAAAGATAGTATCAATTATAAAGTCGAGGTGAGGCTGGAGCACGTCTTGAATCTCTTGCACAATCAACCTGATAGAAGAAGAGCTTCTAAAAGTCTCAGAGTCTGATGGATCCCTGATACTTAGCTACTGTGTTCCAGAAAGATTGCAAAATCTTTGTAGCCCCCGATCAAACTTGTCAGAACATAATAAAAGAGAGTGAGAACTTCTGTCCCCAAGTCTGCCTGGTATGCTTGATCGAAATCTCACATCGTGAAGCGAAGCTAATTTTTACCAAGTATTTGGCTGATCTCATTTGCTGCGCCACCGCGCTAGTAGCATAGGGGGATCCGGGACTCGTGTTATTATCTGTTGATTACCAAAGGTTTAAGAATTCTAACGATCGGGGTTCTGTGATTTCAATCTTCGTCTCTGTATCGAGCAGCCGGTTTTAGGGAGATGGCTATCTACTCTAAATCAATCATGAAGGCTGAGCTCCTGCATGAACTTTCTACTGCGCCTCGCACATCACGGGTGCGAACATCATTTTCGAAGTCTTTAATTTCAGATGTACTAAATGTTCAAACAATCCAATTAATTTGGATCAAACGTGCAACGTTCTTCCAATTTCCCTCCTATATTCCCCTTTGAGATTTTCCCACCGCCACACCTCTTCGTTCTGCTTTTCCTCCTTCACCCCCGCTCCTCCTTATCGGTTATTTACCTGTACCTTACTAGCGAACCGTAAACGAGTGAGCACAACCTAGCCTTCCTAATAGAGCTTCTATGAAGTCATCATTTATAAAAGGCAACAAAAATGAAATGCTTTTCATTCGATTGGAAAAGAGAAAAGAGAGTTCCTTGCTCTCACTCTTTACCACGAGAGCAACTTTTCCACCCAACAGACCAGTCGAAGGATCAGGCTGACCTGAGAAGTTTAACAGTATTCGATTAGACTGTACGATTCATAACGACGATTTCTTCGATTCAGGTGCGGAGTGCGTTGTAGCTGAGGAGAGAAAAAGGGGATGTTGTAGGCTGACCTTACAACCGTGGCGCTAGAATCACTTCAATAAGTGGTTCAGCGCAGTGGTTGATTCAAGTCGGATTCTTCTAACTACGGGTTGAGAGCCCTGACTATATACGCATGCTCTCCTGTACTACATGGGACTAACCGAGTCTTTGAATGCCCTTATTTAGGCCTATGCCGTACAACTGACTGATTCCTGTGGTCTCTCCCGTAGTCCATGAAATCCTAATCCGACAGATGTGTAGGACCCAGGCGGATTAGGGGTGATCACAGACCTCTCCTGCGGCCTAAATAAGAAGAACGATGGTGTGATATCGGATTCCAGCGGAAAGGCTATCAGTGTTAAGAGCTGCACGATTGACGTATGGGATGCTTTGACGTCAACATCCACTAGTGGGTGCACGGATTCGTGAGACTCGCTATAAGTGAAGCACAATTTCGCATCAAAAATCAACATTTTTAAAAGTCTATTTCATAGATCAATCTGATATATTATTGATCAAAACTTCAAGATTATATTAAGTAAGCTTCGAAATATACTATATCAAAATTTTATCTCATAAAAATCAATTTTGAAATCAAAAACTACAATATGACATCTTTATTATAAATAATATTGAAGGGGGAAAACGAAACTAAATTCGATCATCAAACTTCAGATCAAGAGATTAGGAGATTGAGAGATTGGGATTCAGATGTCTAAAACCAGCAATCTGTACTAAAATGCTGTATTTTTTACGATTTGTCTCAAACAGACGTCATATAGAGTCGATTTTGGGTCGCAAGCATGATCGGCACACTATGATGAACATTTCTATATACCCAAGCAAAAAGCTGATAATCAAACTCAAGTATTATTTGTTCCAACAAAAACTACTAATACAGCAGCGTAGGTCGCTGTTGCTGTAAGTGTATCCTTGTTGTCAATTTTAAACCCTAGACTAACGTTGAGAGCAAACAGTATAACAGCCACCGATACTGTCACAAGACTCTTAACTTTCCCCGCATCGATGCTCATAATAAGCATCGGTACAATGAGAGCCGCTCCGCCCCCAACGGCAATAATGAACCTAGCCAGCCAGTCTACGAATGGCGAGTAGGTCTCAGGGAGGCTATTCTTATAGAAATCAGTCCGGCGTGCGCTTTGCTCCGTGGTCGACCATGAGAGCCTCTTGTGCAAGTATTTGCGCAAGAACTCTCGTACGGCATCTCTGGCAAGAGGGATGTTGTGAAAAAGCGAGAGATACTTTGTATCGTAAGGGGCGCCATCACGATTAGCAATGCTTGGAAAGCCGTGTTCAAGGAAGATGCGGTGGTTCATGGTGATGGAGGGTGGAACGCGGCTGAGATTACTCATATAGTCAGTATCTCGGATTGCTGTTACTTGGGAATGTCAGAAACTGGAGAAATGGGGGTTTGTATCTGGGAATATTCCATTACCATAGTCATGCATGGTTTCCTTAAGCTTGACCATCTGTGCCTCCGATGTTGTTCTCTTCTGCCATATCTCTGCCAGGATATTGTGGAGATGTATAGTATTCAGGCGTTGTAATGCAGCAAACTCGGGATATAACAGTTCGTCTTTTCCCAGCCCATTATTATATTGCACGAGCTGGTCCCAATATCGATCTTCGGAAGTTTTCGGTTCTGCAAGAATTCTCGAGTCCTCTATCGGATTTCCTCCATCGCTAGCTAGCTGATCAGAGCTTGATAGTGGTTTTATGATACCCGCTGATGACATTTTGGGAAGCTCTGAATACTGTAAACTCTAGACTTTCAATCGATACTACGTGCGGCTGATATATCTGGCCGCCTTAGTTCTGCCACCAATTATATGCTTCCATCCGCACATTTTTGAGGTGCTGTTTTGCCTCTTCCAAAGTATGAAAAGAGGTCCTTTGAGAAGCATTATAAGGGTTTCTGAGGAGATATAAGATATACACTCTTACATTTCCAAAGTAATCACTAAGCAATTATCATCACTTTTTTGATCAATAATTTCAAAAGATCTAAGAATTCACTCTTTCGACAAGTCCTAAATTGTGCTAATACACAACACCTATATCCAGTTTTACCCAAAGGCGGTGAGACAGATAACAACCTGTGGGACTGACGAGACCGGATGCGCAGCCTCATTACTATCTTACCTGGCGACGATATATCGATATATCCTAGGAAACTTCCTCTTCCTGGCTGATTTGAGAGTGCGCTTTTATTCTTTGATTGTTACTGCTCACACCCTGTCTACGATAATTTCTGTAGAACAGAAAGATGAATCTCTTTAGATCACGGGTGGGCATTGGGAAATTCAGCAAGCAACTGGTGGCAATGTCCATTCCCTCGACGGGATTAGGTATCCAGATAGGAGAGTGTACGTTGTCTATGATATCACATTTGACGAAAGCTGCGGACTTAGTAAAGAGTATCGAAACCAAGAGACTCGAAGATGAGCAGCAATTGGAGGGCGTGAGCAAGGCCGGTGAATCAGATCCAGCTGCCGGGAAACTTTTTGGCCAGATTGTTATGAGCGCAACTGAGATTAAAACAGCGCTGGAGAAAGTTGAAAAGAGAACTCGGGTCTTGACTGATGGTACGCCCTGTATTACTCTCGATGGCACAGAAGAAGAGACACTTATAAGAACAGCAAAGAAAGGAGGAGTCGAAATCTGTGCAAAGACGAAGACGATGCTTGTGGACCCACTTGGCGAAATGATGAATACACAATGGCTCCCTCAGACAGATCTTGTTGAGAATGCAATTAAGAAAGACTGGACAAAATACAGTGAGGTTTGTCAGAGTATCACCTCTGATATGATAGCGCATTTGGGGGGATATAAACAGCTTGAGAATAGTAGTGAATCTACTAGCTCCCCACTTCTTAAGAATAATACAGCACAGTGTAATATATTATAAATGTTTACATTTCGGTATAATATATACAACCTCTGAATAAATGTTATTTTGGAATATGAACTATTCTTTGTAGTATAAATAATGAGTTTGATGTTTTCATACATAATAAGAGGGATTTCACCAGAGAAATTGGCCGCTTGTAAAGTTAGCCCGTGCGCACGGAGACTAACAGCCACTGAACAAGATTCCTTCAGTCCTTCGTCCCAGCATATACCAAGGGATAAGGAGGCACAGAGCTTGAGCTGTTGTCTATTCGCCTATGGGAACCAATCTTATTTACCTCGGGGCGAGACCATATTCCAATGTGTATGTATCACGGGCCGAGTCCCGCCGGGGAACTTGCCAAAGATGCGCTCTTTCTTGTATGCTAGTAGGCACTGCTCGTCTGGCTCCAACAATCGACTGTAATTGCTTATCCTCGAACGTCACGGCTCGTACTCGCTCGAATTTCCGTCGTCGTCGCTTCTAGACTTGGAATCGCTGTCGCTCAAACAACCATTGCCATCGCTACTGGGCGTTACACTCCTTCGCGATGCAAGCGCTCTGCCATCGACAGTTCTGCTTTTCTGGTACTGAGTGCGCGTCACATCGATGTGGTCACAAGCTTCTTCTGCGGCAGTCGACAAAGTCGCACCATGAAACAAGACCTGGAATAAGGTATACCGGCTAAAGCCAATCAAGGGGAAAGAATCTTGTTTCTTCGGCTTGATTGTGAGATCGTCAATCCTGCCAGAATGACTGATGACTTCAATGAGCCTATCAAGATGGCTGAAAAAGACTCCTCGCTTGTCATAACTGTCTCGGATATTCTTATATCCTCCCTTTCTGGTGATACAATGAAGTTGATCTGTTAGGCAGAGAAATCTGCTTGCTGGTGTCATATTTTTAGAGCAACGTTTCTTTTTTCAATTTTGATTAGGTATCATTTGGAAGATATTTCGAGTTTTTCAATATGTCTAGTTTAAGTTTGACAGCTTGACTTGCTATCGTCTCGACTTTTTATAATGATGAAAATAAATCAGAGCCAGTAGTGAGTAGTATTTCTTTATTGTCAACTCATCTAGTCATTTCATTATCGCTATACTTGAACTCCCCATCTAGCACACCGAATCCCCCCTCTCTCCTCAAAATATTAAAGCAGAGAATAGCAGTTGCTAGGAGCGAAGAATTGGCTATTGTATTCCCCCTAAGTCCATATTTTCTTAGGATATCTCATCATGTTTATGAAAAGAAGAGAAAATTATACAGCTTATATACCTCCATACACAGAGTCTAGACTTCAATATGTGGGATACAAGATTCATTCTAGTTTGATCGTTTTCGTACCATAGATATTCTATGTACAGAAAATTCTTCTTGGCGTTCCTCTTGTTTGATTAATACATATGAACAAGCCCGTAGTCACTAGGACAAGAGAAGAGAATATATAAACCCTCCGCATCCCTTCATAGGTAATCCATAGACTATAAACCAGGTATCCATGAAGAATTCAGGAAAGATTCTGAAGTGAAGAAATATTCGAGTACACTCTCTTGTTTCGATTTGCAGATCTTTTGTGTTATAAACTTGAAAATGGTGATACCTTTGGGAGTAGGAGGAGAATCGAGTTTGGGTTCTTGAGAGTCAGTGGTAAGTTTTTTGACAATGAAAATGAAATTTCATTAAGTTTAACAGCGTGACTGTCAAAAATGAGATGTTAATGAAAATCTCCTATTTTCCCAGATGGCTCCATGGTATAAGCAAAAACTTCTATTGGGCCATCTATACGTATCCACGAATCAGAATTTCCTCGGTAGCGAGCTGTATCAAGTTGATGTTCTTGTAGCTGATCCTCAAGACTCTTTGTATCTATTTATGTATTATGAATTGAATTTTGAAGAAAGAGCAAAGTAAAGGGTGTCATTCACTATCTTCAAAGGCTCAATGTGATATGCTGGGCTATGAGGATTCTTTTACTACGAGAATCACCCTCTATCCAGTGGTTTCAGAGATATTCTAGCATCTAGACGATAACCCGCTGTTATGGAATTATAGGCGGGCTATAAAGATCGTCTACTTTCTTAGAGACTGTTCGGTAAAAGTCAAGTGCGGAAGCAGAAATCTCGCGCGATGACATCTTTGTAAGACAGACTATCCGTTTCTGTACAGTTGATTTGAATTTGACGTTCTATTAAATAGAGAGGAGATTTTTTGTTCAAGAGACGATATAGCAACACTCATACTCATCGATAACAACAAAACAATCTCTATAAAACGACAGTAAAATCTATCTCATCACATCTCTGCCAATTTTTCACACTAGCAAGACATTAAATACTAGCCAGACAGACACGCAAAAACCCCAGGATCTGACAAAATCATTCTCATCAAACTGATGGCAAAACGCATAATTCAGTTGCGAGACAGTTCTATCAAGGCCGCCCTGTGCACATACACTCTTGTTTTCCAAACTTTGCCTAGATTCCAGTGGGAGAGGTATGCATGAAGTCAAGTAGGAGAGATATGGAGAGGTATTTATGTTGATAGACGAATTGATATTTTAGTTGAGTTTGAAGGGCTTATGATTCACTGGAATAGCTCAGCCTTAGCGTTTATTGAATGACCTGGTTTATTGATGAGGGGAAGGGGGGTAAATAAGCGATGTTGTAGATAAATATCAATCAGTAAATCAAAATGAGAGGGTGAATTCCACTTCACAGAATCTTGATCCGAGAATCATACCATCACTCGCTACCTATTTAAGAGGGATTTCGATCCAGATAACCAACTCCAATTAATTTGGCTACTCTTGAGAAGGCGGTCTATGTGTCGGCACTGAGCTTTGTCCCGTCAGAAACTCGAAGATTTGTTCCACAAATCTGAACAGAATCATGGAGAATAAAACGAGGATTCTTGTATTGGGTTTCGCTATCGTCTCATACTTGTCAACACAAACGTGAAAGATCTCGATGACAATAAAATCATCGTCGAGAATTAGCACAAGCGAGAGTATTGACAATAATATAATCCACCATCATCTGATCTAAAAGTCACAAGTATGAAAATCCATACTGACAATCACAACGAGTTCTTATTCCGATTTTCTCTTTTCCAGTAACTATCCCCATCGCTGAAAATTTCCGCAACTCGTTGAGTTTACAGACATAGGAGATTCTTCTCCGAAGAAAAAAACATCAACTCCTTTCGAAGTAAGTATTTCATGCATCATATGAGTTGTATATTCTACTTACAAGACTAGCTAGCCACATTTATACCAGCGAGTCCATGTGGATCAAATGATACATTCTCTAGTCTGCTCACTTTCGCAGTCTGTGATTTCACATAGATAGTCCACTGAAAAGGGTTCCTCATAACCGCGAGTATTCCTTCACCTAAACCATTACATAAAATATTCCTGGAAAGAACTTCTCAATTCGAGGAATAGAACTGTGCTTGAGGTCAGAAGCACCGGCTCAGATATATTTACATATCTCGTGGACTTTGAGGCTAATTTTCTCGACGAGGAAGAATTAATAGTCATAGTATTAATGACAGTAACAATATGTACTGTAGCTAATAAAAACCCACCATCAGATGAAATCAAAACCACAATAATAACACAGAAAACACAATTTCACTTTGCTTTGCCCTAAGTCTAGATCGTCTTCCTATTTATCCACCGATGATTGGCAATGTCAAACGTTTCCATGATGTCAATCACCTTACAGGAATCCACAACCTATCCTAACAATACGCCATATCATTCATCTACACAAAACCAAAAGCAATAGATTCCACCCTTTTATATCCATATCCATCCCCATCTCATTCCCAGCAAAACCAGAAACCCCTATCCCACTTCTTCGAAAGATACCAGGAGAAGTAAAATACATAATCAAAAGGCTCTATCAAAGTAAAAAAAACAATTAATGTATGAAACACATTGCAGTAAATCTAGATCACATACCTGGTGCGAGATTTTAAGTTGGAGATTGAATATCAACTTGTGTTTGTTAGGTTGATGATTTGATTAATTACAGCACATAAAAGAGCGTAGAGCGGGTACTCGAGAACTGATATGCATGTATATTTCAATCAAACAATAATATCATCGCCCCAAGTAGCCAGTTGAAGCGAGTCAACATGAAATTTGACCCCTAAAATCGATTTCCGCAATGGCCAGCTTACTAGATGCGAACTTTCGCAAGAAGTGCGCAATATATAGCGCCTCAAGACGCAAAAATCAAAGAACACCTACTAGTGCGACTTCTGAGACTTCTCTGGAGGGAGTTTCGAGCTTATTCACTTGAACATTAACGTAGTATTCATAGTGTCCATTCCCTAGATAATCTCTACTCCCCAAACACAGAAATCTCATACCAACCTCCTATTAATCCACCAGATGCTTAATCATCAATTTTCAATCCCTCCAAAACCCATCACACACAGTAAACATCCTTCCAAAAACCTTCTCATCGCCACCAACGGAACACCATGTCTCATCACCGTATTCTCATCCCACGAAGAATGCAATCCAATTAACAAACCATCATCAGCTCTCACCAGGGTACCTCGAATGTCCCAATAAATCCACGCATCATATTTCAAGCTTCCAATTTCTGAATTCTCATGCGGATCCTATCCCTATCTCTTCCCACAAAAAGATCCTTTCGATACCTCAACAAGAATATACTTCATCTTTCAATTATCCTGAGATTCCAAATCATCGCTTCCCGGATGTCCAATACATATAATGCATATCTCATGATCCGGAAGCTGTACTGCCTATTCCATAATGAGAATTCTGGGATACTATCCCCAATAAATCATCACCAATTTCCATCGTTACAACAGTCCACAGCGCCAAATCATGTTTTCGATCCCAAACACGACATTCGATCGATTGCAAGACCAGTATAATATAAAAGTCATTGTCGTGGTTTGGATTTCCATTCTTCCTCGCTCTCGCTAATGCAATGAGAATATGTAACTATACATTCTGCAGGATCAATACAAACCGCAGTCCCGGCTTCATATTGCTCGAAAATCAAAATTGATATTAATAAATTACGAACGTGAATTCCGGGTGGTGAATCTTTGAGTGTGATAATGTGGTACCTAGGTAGCTTTAAGTCGTGATTATTTCTTGCGAAGAAATGTAAGTTCGACTTGGTTCAGCCCTCGTAAGGTGGAAGATGATGGTATGAGTTGAATCTTTTCATTCGTTCTTGGTGTGGTGGTGCGGTATGTGAGGTTTTATTAGAGATAAATTTCACTAACTATTTCAAATTTGCAGTCGGTTTGAATGGAGTGGATTTTTCGGGACTGTATCCAGAATTGAGGATCTCAGTATGCGTTTGTTGTTGATCATATTCGTATTGGCGAATTGGTTGCTTGACTATTCATATTTGTATAAGTACCTACCTATTCGAACTTGGAGTTTTTTGTAAGCATCGATACTCAATGTCAGTAATGTATAACACCAATCCCCAACATTGCATTACTGAATTGAATACTTTGTATCGTAATGTCAAGTCATGTCGTGTCGTGTCAAAAAGGGCTTCTGCATCTCGATCTTAAATGGTCTAGATGTACCTACCTAGGTATGCAATGTTAGATGTGAGTCTGGCCACGATCTGTTCCAGGTAGTTTCTCAGGGGCGTTTTACAGACCAAGGTCTGGCCAAAGTCCGACGTGCAACAAAATTGTTTGTGAATTCTGTGTTTGGTCGGTTCGTTTGGATATGAATGAAGTTTATATTGTTAGAGGATGCCTAATCAATTTCTAATCAGTATGTGGTATAACTTGAGGATATTTCTTCTCCTTTCACTGGTGGCCTCCATTTTGAAGGGAAGAATACGAATGGGAACGTGCACTGGTTGGATGGTATGGTGCACAATGTTTGTGTGTATCACGTGATATGTGATATTTTCGGGTGATAGCACTATGATCTTGAATGGATGAATTAGTTGAGTCCAGATAATCTGTAAGCTATATTCGCATATTCAAAAAGGGTGATTGAACACCAGTTAGAGGTTACTCTACCAAAAAATGTGATATAGCATTTGAGACTTCCCCCCGAGCACGTGCACTCCCAGAAATCCAATCTCTTGTCAATCTAGAACTATGAATGAGGACGAGAGTTGTCAAATCACAAGTCTATGGACTACAACTCCACTTTTCATCTGATCTTCAATAGCCTATGAACATAATGTTACTGGCAATGACAACATATCAAGTCTGGATCTTTCTCTAAGCCTTCCACTTCCCCCCGCATTTTCATCTGAAAGTCCGGAGATTCTCTCTCCCAATGTTAGGATTCCGTGTCATTTCTTTCGGGAGACTTTTCCAAATGTCCTGAGAGTTCTTTCTGTTCGTGTTTCGAGAATCTGATAGATTTTGTATATATAATCCCATCTTACGGACCAAGACCACCGCAATAGTCCAAAATGTCTCTGAAAAGCTGTCTATACGTAGGAGGAAAAAAAGGCCGGAATTGACCACTGCGCAATGGTACGTGCACCCTCACCAAAACAACGCGTAGAGAGAGAGGTATTACGCATTGGTCAATTCCGGCCTGTTTTTTCTCCTACGTATAGGCTGTCAACCTTATGCCACCACTAGCCGAGTATGCACACAATCACACATTGACCGATTCAATATGTTGATCCGACAACAAAATCAATGAAAATCTTTCACATAATCTGATTTCACCATTTATTCCAGAATTCTGGGTAGAAATCTGGGCAAAACTCTGGGCAATATCCGTATGTAGATGATTCAAATGCGGGGTGTTATGTGGTGGTGTGGGCGTTAACAAATGTTGAATATTTATCTGAAAATACCTATTGATCTCTCTACTGTCTCTCCCATTATACACACCTAATTAGCCGGTCCATATGTAGAGCAACTCACGGTATGTCATATTGTATTATATCTTATCGTCATATCTACAATACATCCTACCTACCTACACACTTACATGCACGCATTTCGGATTTCATCCATCACTACCGTATCCTACCTTGATATTCCATCTGTATTAAACTATCTGGAGATTGTTGATAGTGAGGTTGTATTCCATATGCCTTATCTCATACCTCATATCTTGCACCCTGCTTGTCATTGCATATCCAAAGTACTCGAAGCGGGGTTCTGATGTATCGTAGACAACAGAAATGAGGGGTGAATCGGGGTGATCAATATGTATCTCTCGCAATTATCATTGTTTCAAGACAAGATAGGCCGGCGATAGAACAAAATGAGAGCTGAAATTCATTCCTCGGTCACAAATTAGATTCATGTGAAAGGCCGATGATTGAACCTTGATAAAGTTTAAGGATGATAGGGATGAAGATTTGCTAAGGGTTTCCTTAGTGTGTATGGGAGGGAAGATCATTAATTTATGGATTCGGTAGATTTCCTTTAGTCTTTTCGAAATGTGAATTTGAACGGGATATTGATATCGATATATGCGTAAGGGAAAATTCTAGTTCTAGTTCTTGTTCTAGTTTCTATAAACTGCCGATGGAAAAGATAGATCACGATGAATACCGCATCTAAACCCACTCGTATACTCGTACATCGGAAGAATTATTCGCACGGAAGTCAGTACTAATTTGTGCTATACTACTACATATATCCACTACACTACACAAGATCAGATTCCTTCTTGAGTCCGAACAACAGTAGAGACAACGGCGGCAGTTAAATTAATGAGCTTTGATGGTGTTGTTGTTCAGTACAAGATCAAGCTTCAGTAGTGGAGAAGCCGAGATCCGGAGCATCGAGATACCCCAATGTGGCGGGGATTGTGGATTTATGGATTTATGGATACTTATCTAACGGGGGGAAGAAAATTGATATTCCTTGATATGTGATTGGCTGAAAGAGATTTAATTAAGCTTAATTATTATTCAGCTATATCCACAATTTAACAATCTGAGACCTTTATTCGACGCAGAAGAAAATCATATGGGGAAGAGGGGAAGGAACGGGAAGGGAGGGGAGGGGAGGGGAGGGGAGGGGAGGGGACATTTTCTTCAAATATTTCATTCCAACCTCTTCAATCTCTTCAACTCTTCAATTCATGAACGACAACAATTCCTAACAAATCAATTGGTGACCCAAGCAAATTACTCAAATTTCAAAACCCAAGCCCCCTAGTAAAATGTTGGTCTCTACGCGAGTAAACGATATTCAAACCAACCAATACCAACCAACACCACCTCATCACACCAACTTCAGAAATCTTAACGAAAGTTGATCGCTGTAACGACAAGGATATATTCCGGGGTAACATACACATTTGTTCAAACCAACATGACGAGCTTTGCCTAATACAAGAACATCGCCGTTCCGTCCATGATCCACCGAGGCTCAATACTTCAATACACCGAAAGGAAATTTCATGGTGAGATCTGACATCTGATTGTATAGCACAAATGCATCTTACGTGAATAGTAATGGAAGGCTGTGCATGGTTCCCATGTTACATGTGGTGCGTGTTAGTCTCTCGGTAGACGAGATGGAATGTTGTATGACAGTCACACAACTAACCATCAATGTCAAGGTGTGGCAATCTCCTTCTTAATTGGTATACCAGATCGTATCTTTAATTACGCCAAAAAGCTTAACAGAGCTGTTCAGCTAAAGAGGTGTGGATTTGATGAGGAATTATCGTGGTGACTACGAGGTTTCGTGGTACTCTTCGGTCATTGCGAAACGATGAGACCTCAAATCAGCCACTTGGAAATCCCTTTTTGCCATTCATTTTTTGGTAATTGTGTAAAATGTGCTCACATGCTTTACACCTTTTCTTTCAAATCGGACATTATTCCCCATGGGGAATTCAAAAGTAGATCCAAGACTTTCACTCGTTACCCTTTCGATCATATCTTACTTGCCCCCCCTAGTCAAAAGACCCCTCTCTCTGTACATATCTACAATAACTCCACATTAGATTGATCCCCCTTCCTTTCTCCACTTTGGATTTTTTTTTCAAGAGATATAGAAGTATTGAAAGTTCGCCATTTTTCTTTATTCGACTTGTTCCATTTTTTGATCATCGTCATCGTTATAGGGGAATTATATTTCTTTGTTTAATGGTTGTGAGACGTCATCAGATGAGATTTATTGGATGAATATTCGACTATAAATTACCATTATCATCTCAAATTCCATATCCACCAACCAGCGGAAATAACTCCGAGTAACTGATCCTACGAGCAAATCGATATATTTGCGATCATCCCCAAAACTCGTCGTTGAAAATCAAAATGGTAGGAGGATTAGATGATTCGGATCAAAAGGTGGAGAGAGCGGAGGTTGAACAATATGAGACAAATCCACCAGCAAAGAGATCATTCGGTGGAAAAGTAAAAAGACATTGTGCTCGATTTTGGTGGATTCATCTTATAATTTTCTGTATCTCATTTCTCATCATTGCATTATGTCTGTAAGTATTTCTCCAGATATCCGATATCTTGATACCCGTACTGACATGAATAGTGTTTATGTCGCTATGCCTAAGATTGCTCAAGATGGTGTTAATGATTCTTCTCTCGAAATCACACAACTCAAATTCACAGATCCAACGCCGGACACCATTGTTCTCAGTCAAGTAGGAATTCTTCACAGTCCTTCAATGTACACACCTACTCTTGACCCTTTCAACGCCTCCTCATACCTAGTCACCAATGGACAATATGCTTCATCCCCAATGGTCATCATTTCTCTCCCCAAAATCCACGCTCTCCATCCTAAATCCACCATCTCCGTCGAAAACCAAGAAGTATCAATCGTCAGCATCGACGCGCTTTCGGACTACACCACCGCAGTCCTCTCCAACGAATACGTCACCACCGCCCTCGTGGGAAAAACCAAACTCCACGAAGGCGCCCTCCCCGTCATCACCGTAAACTACAACCAAACATCCACATACAAAGGACTCAACGGACTCAAAGGATTCAACGTCACCAACGTCCGCGTCAACCTCACTGCGCTCTCCGGCCCCAATCTCTCCGGCTACGCATATATTCCCAACCCCTCCGACATGACCATCGCCATGGGCGACGTCACTTTGGAACTCTCCACCGCCACGGGCGTGGTAGGGAATTCCACCATCGCAAATATGACCCTCGTACCCGGAAACAACACCCTCCCGATGACGGGAACGATGGATCAAACAAAGGTACTCGCAAGCGCGGATCTGAAGACGGGAATCGTGCAGTTGGGGATTGTGGGTAAGAGTGCGATTTACAATGGGGAACATCTGGTGTATTATGAGAGGGCGCTTGCGAGTAATAAGTTGAGCTTGGCGTTGAATGTGGCGCAGGTGGTGAAGGATAGTGCGGGGGGGTTGATTTGAGAGTGGGAGATAGGAAGTGGCGGAGTCGAGTGGAGTGGAGGAGGATGAAGGGATTGGGATTACCTACCTACCTATGGAAATAATTAATTAATTTCTCACCTGGTGTGAAAGAATAGTCAGTCGTGTGTTTGTGTTTTGGGTAATGAGTTATGAGTTCAACCTACTCTTTTCCCTGTTGCGATACTGCGAGAGTAATGAATGAAACATTTTGGGGGCTGGAAGTTAGTCGTGTTTGTTGCTTAATTACTTACATGATTATCCATTTTGCTTATTTTTCAGAGGAGCGAATAGCCCCTGGCATTGAAGTTAAATTGCTAAATTCGGTCGCGACGATCACGCGCTCAAATAGTTCCTTATCTTAGCACGTCTAAATACCCTTAGGGAGGTCCAAAACAGACGCTAATTAATATAAATAAATTGCTTATTTAAGGTTACCGCTGGGATTCCGGATTAGGATTATGATACCTATCTATTTACCTACTTGATTATCTATCTAAAGACTTACAATATAGTTATAGTTACAATTACTATCATATCATATCATATTATATTAAATTATATTAAATTAATTACATATCTTTCTTTCTTTCTTTCTTTCTTTCTTTCTTTCTTTCTTTATTCTTCTCCTCTATATTTCAATAAAAAGAGAAGAAAGAGAACTAAGATATTCTATATTATATAGAATATCTTAATCCTTAATCTTATACTCGCACTTTTAATATTATCAGAAATAGACAGCAAGTTACGTATAAGGAGTGATATATTGAAGTATGTATATCAGATCTATATCCGGGAAGTCCGAAGAAGGAGTTTTATAGTGATATGTATGTGTTACACATATATTATATATATAATTTCCAATATTCTCTTTATAATAAAAATCTATTATCTAAATTATATAAACTTTATATATATATATATTTGTGAAAAGCTTCATTAACTCCTGCAACAATACCAACATTCCAGAGTTGCCTATGGTGTCTACGTTTCTAATAGAGTTCGACAGCTTTACAATTTAATATCGTATTGCAGTATAAGAATACTCTTTGTTTGAATCCTGTTTTCCCTGTTTATATTAGATCGGATTCAATCTATTTAGCAATTCGAATATCAATCTGCTTTCATAAAATCCTCTTTATATATATATTAACGAATTACTTCGGATTTGTTATCTTCGAATCGTAGGGTCACCTTTTTAATATAATAAACAATCCAAATCCAATCTTATGTAAATAGATCTCCAACTTATCTATTACTCTACATAGTTTTCTTAAAATGGTCAATTTGGTTAATTTGGTCAATTCATAATAAATTGACTAATTCGACCAATTTGAACAATTTTTGATAAATTCGACAGATCTGGTGAATATAGTGAATCTGATAAACCTGATGAAATTGTTGAAATAGGTGTATTTGGTGATTTTTATCAATTTGATCAATTTGGTCAATTTGATCAATTTGGTCAATTTAATCAATTTGGTTAATTTAATCAATTTGATTTAAATCAATTAAATCGATTAAGGTGACTGATTTGACCAAATACAACTATTGATTCTCTTTGATATATTTGTATTTAGTATTCCAAATCCAATCCTAAACCTTTCTATAAGTTATAAAGTCAAGATATATAAATTGTTTTGTAAGGATATCGGCTATCTATTCAATTCCTGGAATCCATATAATATATAGTCTTTTGATATTAACCATATTTTTTCGAATATAGTACCATCGAATATCGATATGCTTTACCTTATTATAAAACTTATTCTCTTATATCCAATCAATTCTACTAGTGTTGTTGTAATATAAAGTTAGAATAAAGAGCTTTTCCTCAAAGCATTCTCCTAAATCTTTCACTAGCTTTTCCATCCAAACTAATTCTTTTGTATTCTTGTTTGTTATTATAATTTCAGCTTTCATTATACAAAAAGATATCGATTTCTATTTTGTTAAAGACTATACTATAGCTTCTCCATATCTGATAAGAGCTACTCTTTGAACAGATTTCCTATCAACTATAGATCTCTAAGTCGAATCTATATAAGCTTAATATTTGTATATAAGTATATTTAATCGATTTAAATAGACTATACCTATTGAGTATATATTAGCAAGATATTGAAATAAGTGTTTCGCAAGTACTAGATGACTTTCCTTTAGTGTATATATAATACAAGCAAGCTGGCCAATAGTATATACTATATCAGATTGAGTGTAATTCGAGAAATAGATAATGCTATCAATAATCTAAAGATATAGTATCGTATTGTTTTGATAAAGGAGTTTATTTTTATTCGTATTTCATATAGTTATATTAGAAGGTAAAAGCAAATCTTTTGTATCAGTAAGATCGATTTCAAATCTTTATAAAATCTTTTTCATATAATTCGATTAATGTATCTTAAGTAATCGATCTTGTTGATATTGTTCTATTTGAATATCTAGGAACATATTAGTTTCGCTTAAGTCTTTGTATTTCCATCAACTTCCAATTATCTTTTTCATCGAATTCATATTAATACAATTTCCTATTATCAATAGATTATCTATATATAGTAGGATATACACTCCTTTTTCTATAAAAAGATTCGAATCTATTATCGATTCTTTAAGTCCAATCTCTTTAAAGAATTTTCAAATTATAGTTTATCAAACTCTTAGTACTTGTTTTAGGCTATAAAGTGACTTTTTTAGTTTGAGATATAGTTTGCTTTTGAGTTTGATCTCAGGAAAGATTTCTTCAAAAAATTCTAATATTTCCATAAGGATTTCTGTATCCATTAGTTTATTATTCAAGAAAGCAGTATTAATATCCATATTATCAATCTCTAGATCTTTTACTATAGCTTTTATTAATAAAGTGCATAATGTCGAGTATCTTGCTATATTAGCGAAAGTCTCTTGATAGTCTATTCCATATTCTTAAAGATATCTTTTAATTATTAATCTTGCTTTTCTTTTAATCAACTTACTAAAACAATCTAGTTTATTTCTCAGAATATATCTACTATTTAATAGCTTTCGGCCTATAGATATAGCTTTATTTATGATTTCGAAGGTATTATTATTCTTAAGACTCTGTAATTCATTTCTAATCGCTTTTATTTATATTTAAACATTCCCTCACATAATATCTTCAAGCTCTACTAATTCCTTAAGTATTGAATTATAATTACTAACTAAAAGATCTTCAGAGTATATAAAGATAGTATATAATATAATTATATACTAAACAATCTGATTATTAAAGATCTTTCTCAACTATTTCTTACAACTTTCATTCAAAGTATTTCAAACTAGAGTAGTTATCGAAACAGACTTAATTCTTGAAATCTTTATAACTATTTATACTCTTTGTTTTGAAGATAGAGGTACTTATACATTTTGTATTAGATATCCAGTTCCTTGTAGTTATCACTACTATAGTATTTGCAAAGAATAAATCCGAGCTTCCTCTCGCTCATTTTAGATCTGAACTTCCTCTTGCTTATTGATATATATATTTTCTTATACATCTTCTTGTATTACTAATTACATTCTTCTTTTCATAGCCTTTTGCTTATCATATAAATAAGATTTCCTTTTTCTTTTTGTTCCGGGCAATTCTAGAATATTCTTTTCTTTGAATTCTTTAAATAAGTATTTATATTCATTGAAATCAGTATTTACTATTTTAATAATAGTTTTGATATAAAGATTGAGGAGGCAATAGATTTTATTTCCATCCATTCTAATCATAATATATTCTCCTTTGAGTATTCTAGATTCGAATTTCTTAGTTATCAAATCTGATTGCTGGAGGTTCTTAGTCTACACTTTATAATCAAATATCCTAAGCTTTTTAAAGTTAGACTATCTACTATATATAGCCTTATATAGCGTTATTGATATAGAAAGCATTTCTACCTTTTTAAAAAGTAATACTTTAATAAATGATTTGTTCTTCAGATATATAGTATATTTGATGGTAAGTTTTACATACTAAACTTAATACCTAATTCACTTAACAGCAATCTCGTTATAGTATTAATATCTTGAATCTTCTTTTTGATTACTCCATTCATAAAATGCTTTTCAGGAAATAAGGGTTCGAATATCAATCCTCTCTTTCCAATTTCTATTTGAAAGAATATCTCAAATTCATCTTTTCTGTTATCTACTCTAATAATAGTAATCTTATAATTAAACTTTTTTTCAATCTAATTAATGAAATCCATTAATATAGATACAACAATCTCTATAGATTTATCTTTTGTGAATCTAAGTCAAATTCTTTTTGTTGCATTATCAATAACTGTAATAAAGTATCTATTTCCATTTTCAAAAGATTCTTGAATTCCTAATAGATTTATATACAAACATTATAGTTTTATAGATATATAAATAACTATGTATTTATTGAAATGCTTGTTTATTCTCTTTACAAAACAAGGCTCGTAAGCTTTTTGATTAGTACTTTTTTTCTTTTAGTATAATGTAATCTATTTGAAGCTTTCTTTAGCTTATCTATCTAATTATAATTGAAATAATCTAAGTGTCAATATATAATCTCAGCTTTATCGTTATTCGCATTAATCTTTTCTATTTCTGAGTCTGTATTTGCTATTGTCAAGGTACGGGTAAAGACTTATATTGTACCATAAGGGTAGAAGAGCTATGGAAGAGTGAAGCCCTACTTATAGGAAGTAGGGCGCGCTAGTATGCTGTGCCTGAGGTATGAAGGCAACTATAGATCATGTAGTTGGCGCTGTGACAGTATCCCCTGCTCAAGGTGATCGGTCTACGATTGCAATACTAATTGACTTTTTAGAAAACAAAATAATATTAAAATACTTTAATTTCTATTATTAAATTAAAATAAACTTTCTTGGGAGTAGTAATCAATTACCGGAGCTTTTTAGGTTTGTCTTGGCCTTGATTTGGGGGTGTGTTTGGTGTAAGTATTAGTGGGGGATTAGGAGTAGTAGATCTTTTGAAACCTATTTAAGTGGGTGGTTTTGGTTTATCTGGATTTACTAAATAAAAAGCAATAATTGTATCTTCCTGGCCGTAAAGGTTTTCGGCAGGTTGCTAAGATGCTGGGTGATATTTCCATTTGATTTGGTAATAAAATTTGTCCTCGTTATAATAATCAAATAGTTTATCGAATTTCTATTGCTTGATTTTCTTGTTTATTTTGTTATCTCTTTTTAGAATATAGCCTTGGTTTTGATAGGATTCGGTTTTGTTGATTGCTTCTTAACCAGCTAATCCAGATGAGTAATAGAGTGGTCGGAGTAATGAATTGTGGAATACTGGAAAGATCTTAAAACTAGTGGGGAGCTGGAGTAGATAGACTTGTTTATAAACTTTTAGAATTTTATAAGGGTTATTTTATTTATTATTACCTTTTTTTATCGGGCGATTGGTTTTTATATTCTTAGTATTAATC